AATATATATATATATATATATATATTTATATATATATATATATATATATATTTTGTTAATAAATAAATGTGTTTTATAATTTTTAGGTGAAAATTTTCAATTTTAATTTCAGTATTAATGGAAATGTGGTTTGATAAATGTATATATATGATATATTTTTTTATATATTTTCTTCAAAATTGCGAAAAAATTAAAAACGACTTGAGAGATGGAGCGAGTAATTAATTTTCTCGAACCGTACGCTTATCGAAATATTCGATACCTTGCACTGACTCATACGAAACAACCCCACGACCAAAAAGAAATCGAAAGAAAGATGAACAAGAAGATGATCTTGTATATGTATATAAGCACATGTATATGCGTATGTATATAAAAGATAAAAGAAGGATCAAAACTTCTGTTAAAACAAGGTCGATTCTTTCTTGGGTTTGGCAAAGGGGGATAAGCAATTTGTTCCGTAATTGCAATAAATTTCACTACCCAAGAGTGAGAAGCGCCAAAGTCACGGAAATTCGATCTAGGGTTTTAGCCCCCCTTTCTCTCTCTCTTTGAATCGCGACACCGGGGAGAATGATCGATTTCAGTCGAGTTCAAAAGGAGTTGCAAGACTGCGAGAAGGACAAGGATGCTTCCGGCATTCGGGTCAGCCCGAAATCCGACAATCTCACCCGTCTCGTAGGAACCATTCCCGGTCCAATCGGGACGCCTTACGAGGGCGGTACATTCCAGATTGACATCACGTTGCCAGGTCGGCGAAGATAGGTTTACGTTTTGCGAATTGAATTCCTGTGTTTCTGTTTTCGAATTCTAGCCTTGAACTCTTGGGTTTAGGGTCTCTGTTTTATTTGAAATCTCGGAATTTAGGGTTTATGGTGATTGTTTATTTGTTCAGCTAGAGTTTTGTGAATTGGTTTTGCGGAAATCGTTTGTGGGGTATCGTAATCTTTAGCAAATTATACTTAAACTGGGTTCATGAATGAAGGATGGAGGTGATGGTTTTTTTTTTGTTTCTTTTGTCTTATCCCTTTTCTTCACCATGTAATCTGTATATACTTAGTGGATTAGTCATTGTCTTTGTTATGTCTTATTTTCTTGCAGATGGGTACCCGTTTGAGCCTCCGAAAATGCAATTCACGACCAAAGTTTGGTAGGAAGAATGAGTATCTGAGTGTTATGTCCATTTATTTCCATTGTGATATCACTCTTTAGGCTTATGGAGTTGAAAAGTGGAAGAATTTGAGTAATATAATACTGGTTCTGGTGGTATATGGCACTTAAAACATTGTCGTGGACAACTCTTCCAACTTAATGTATACTTTATTTGTGGCAGCTCTGCACATTTTGGGGTCAATTATTGAAAATGACATCATATTTGTGATCATCAAATTCAGAAGTCTGTCTGACCATAGGGGTAGATGCTTACGCCGATGACAAGAGCCCTCTACCATAAATTGGTAGATGGGTTTTCTGATGGCATTTTCTAAAAAAAAATCACAAACATGGAGCCACTTTGATTAATTGACCTAAAGAATGGGTCCTTTTAGGAGATTTCTCGTTTTCCCTTGCCGGATCATATGGTGTGCTTGTTTTGTTGCCGTCTAGATGTTGTTAGAAACGTATATGCTGGAACTGTAGTCTTAAGGATCTCTTAGTGCTGCATAAGTTTTCTTCTTCAGAACTTCGGTTGGGCTCTTGCGGTATCAGTTGGTCACTTGAAAGTTGTCTTATGCATGGTGCATGATGCAATTTGTGCTAATCAAAGTATCCTTTTTTCATTATTTCATCTGATCAAATTTCAAAGGCACCCGAATATTAGTAGCCAAAGTGGGGCAATTTGCTTGGATATCCTGAAGGATCAGTGGAGTCCGGCTCTTACTTTAAAGACAGCCCTTGTTTCCATTCAAGCTTTACTGTCTGCTCCTGAGCCTAATGACCCTCAAGATGCTGTTGTAGCTCAGCAGGTTCTTCATTGCTTTTATCGGTTTTACTATTATGACGTTTCCCCCTTTTGATCCATTTGTGGCTATCGATTTATCGTTTTGACTTTCAATTTGTCGTGTATTGTCAGTACATCAAGGAACACCAGACATTCGTTACAACTGCTCGTTACTGGACAGAAACTTTCGCCAAGAACTCTTCTCTTGAGGAAAAGGTATGATGTCGATGTTGTTAAATGCTAGTTTCTTTTTACAATTCATGGCTTGGAACTCCTGTGGAAAACTTTACACCATAGCTAATTGAATTTCGAGCCTCCTTTTTTTAATGCGAAAGTTTCAGAATTTGGAGCCCAAATCCCCGGAGATTACAGATTTTAGGCATATTTCAAGGTTTTAATAGATTGCAGCTGTATTATCTGTAGAAGTCAAGGTTCTCCCGGGCAAATAACAGGGTAGTTTATATAACTCGTTCCTTTATATAGGAACTTTGGTAACTAACATTCTGTAAATCTCTCTGTAATGGATTGATTGTCTTAGGTCACGAGACTCGTGGAGATGGGTTTTGGTGAAGCTCAAGTAAGGAGTGCTCTTGAATCTGCCGGTGGAGACGAGAACTTGGCCCTCGAAAAGCTCTGTTCTGCCTAGGATCTGTCTATGTAATGGTAAATAAAACCCGAGCTTTTTAACTGATTGTTATCTTCTCGGGCCTCGGGTTTTCCTTTTCTCCTTCTGATTTATGTTACTTCTCTTGCCTGCCGCCGAGGGCGGAGTTGGTGTACCGGACCAAAGCAATGCTATATATACATATGTTGTTGCTCTGTGATTAGGGTTAGTTTTGTTTGTTTTGGTCAAGAGCTCCAAATGGGAGTTTTGGTTTGGTTTCTGAACTGAGATCTTCATTACAAATGTCGCTTGGTTCCGGAGATTGATATATAACCTTAAGGCATGAAAGCTGCTCCTCTTTAATCTGATCAAATACAGTGCTCTAATGTCGGTTTAGTTTGGTTTGGGCTGGTTTGGTTTACAGCTCATCCGAAGACACTTCTCGGTTATCCACGCTTTGAGCATCCAATTTCATCGGTTCAAGTCGGTTATGCCAGGGTTTCCTGATTCATTGATTCGGTTTCGGTTTTTCGCTGGTTGATTAAATGGGGTGGGGGTAAACCGAACCGATCCAAATAACTAAGATTTGGATATTTCTGGTATCCGGTTTGGGTCATTTCATTAAAAATCCGATCCGGTTTTGGGGGATTAGGAAAATGGGGTCTAACAAAAAAAAAAAAAATGAGTAGGAAGCTAGAGATGAGAGACGTCGGTCCATTAAAGACACTGCATTTATGTGGGTTTTTCCAAATTCAACCACCAAGTTTTTATTCATATCCTACTTGCATTTAGAATATGATTTTTTATTATTTAATAATAATAATAATAATAATATAATAACAATTTATTTGATTTATAGAGAAAATTCAAACTCCCATCCTCTCTCCTTTTTAGTAATTTATATTGTCTCGGCAAAAAATATTTAATTCCAAATCTTGTTTTATACGGGCGATTAAACTATAATTACATAAATAATTTTTCTGAATTACTTTTGCTCCTTCTCAAGACATTTTAATAAGTTCCGTTTTGTGCCGTGAAAATTGGAATTAGATTTAAGTTTTTATTCTATTAAATAGAATCAAGGAAGGGTTCGTTCATCGTCTTTAATTTCATGTGTGTATATATACTATATAGTAAGAGCAATTGAATTAAGGTGTGAACTCCTGCTACGGGGAATCTAGCCAAGGACGTTTTTTTTGGGATTCCAGTTTGTCTAACATTTTAGACATTGATTGCTGATGTCTGTCGGTCCATAGAGTCAAATCTCATGTTGTCACACTGATGATTCCAATGCTTATTTTTATACTTATATATATATATATATATATATATATACATCTCTAATGATTCGTCAGTCTACTACTCGAAATATATATATATATATAAGCTGTTATAATCTTTATATATGTTCAAAATGTCCCCGGATGTCCAACACTCAATTTGTCACATACCCAATTAAATAAATTCGATTCTAAGTGTATATGATTATGTACCATAAATAAATTTGTCTAGTTTTTGAAATATGTAATGTATATATATAGCGACTTCTCGTCGTTGTATTATGTCCTAATCAATCTCAGTGCGTATGAAAAACAATCATTAAATCATGGATATAATTGAGATTTATATTTTGGTGGAAGGAGAATAAAATAAAAAAAGGAATATTTGTTTAGTTTCTATGAATGTGAAATAATTTTAACAAGGATATGTTAATTAAGATTTGGACCTCCCGCGCTGGATCTAGGCATTTACATAATCACATTATATAAAAAAAATAAATGTTTCTAATATTAATGAACTGTTAGCAGCATGGTAGGTAGAAGTCAATTCAATTATTCAATTGGAGACTGCCATTAATTCAATGCAACCGAATTTCCACACACAAAAAAAAAAAAAAAAAAAGAGAGACAAAGAGTTTGTATACTAAACATGTTTCCATAAAAAATGACAAAATTTGTTTACCCAAAATTAAAAATACAATATAGGCCACAAGTACATAATCTCAACATACATACATATATATATACACACACACATACGAAACTACTATATCTATAAATTGTTTTTACATAATTTTTTTAAATTAATTAATCAAATTCAAAGATATAGAAAAACAAAATCATCTTTAAAAGTAAATATCTTTAATAAAAATTATATCTCTAAAAAAAGTGAATAAATATAAATATGTTAAACTAAATGATCAGTAATTCGAAAATAACAACGTTTCCGAAATGAGAAAATATCCACACTTAGTTAAAAGAGTACCAAAAAGTTTGGTGCTAAACCAGCTTTTACATTCCAAATTCCAACTAATAAATTTGACAAAAATCACCCAAAAGTCAACAAGAAAATAGACCGTTTGACGGTCTAAGTAAAAATTTAGCATTATGACAAAATTGATTTCAAATAAAACTATGACAAAATTCTTTACGAATATCTTAATGGCCAATGTACATCCACAACCACAACTATTATTTTTTTTATTTAATGGATAAAGTAATAATAGGGTTCAAAAATTAGAAATAATAAAAAATCACAACGAAAATAGTCAAAAAGAAAAGTAGAGAAACTTTAGATTATTGCATTTGTATCGAATAAAAAGGATTTTAACCTTTTTATCAGCCTTTTTATTCAAATACAAAGGCAGTGGTAGTTACGTAATTATCGAGAACTCTCAGCCCAGTTTTACTAGTTGTTACTGAGTGCTTGAAATGTCAGGGTACGGAGCTTACGAGACGGAACGAACCCTTCTCTTCGCGGGCTTCTCTTCCCCGGAAAATTACATTCGCCGCCGCTAAGTTCACCGGAAACCATCGTTTACACGAACCGGCGATTTTATTGTTATCATTTTTTCCGAAAGAAAAAAAGAGATACGAATTAGTGGTTCACCGTTCATCGCAGTTGAAATTATTGCTTTTGTTTCTTGAGATGATAAGCTAAAAGCTCGGCGATTTCGAAACACTGGCCGATGGGCTGCGTTCTCGGAAAGAGAGCCGCCGGAGAAAGACGGAGCCCAGACGGAGCTCCAGGAGGCGGAGGGCGACGCCGTGAGACTACGGCGGAGCAAGAGTCGTCCTCAGTCGTCTCCCCACCGGAGGTTACCAGGCCGAGAAAGGAGGTAGTTCTGGGTCGGACGCAGATTCAGACGGCGAGGACGTGGCACACCGGGGACTTTCCGGCGGAGGCTGGTAGCCGGACGTTGCGGCCGGGGTTGAGCCTCCGTGCGGAGGCAGCGGCGGCGGGGGTGTGGCCGCGGTGGCTGGTGGCTGCTTGTGGCGAATCGATCAAGGACTGGACACCTCGCCGCGCAAGCACATTCCAGAAGCTCGAGAAGGTAACAAAATCACAAACCCTGATGGAAAAATCCAAACTTAATCTCTCCAATGAGTACTAATTAATTGCATAGGATCGAAGTTATCGTCTTTTTACTATCCAAAAAGTCTTGCAGGTATGATTAGAAAGTTTTTGATATTTTATAATTAGAAAGTTTTCACCATCTATATAACTAAAGTTCAAGTAAAGCTGCTTAAGAACCAAGCTTGATGCATGAATTAGTCAGTGGAATTTGCTGATTGTCCTTTGTTTTTGTTTGGAATTCGTTGTTGTTAGATCGGGCAAGGAACATATAGCAATGTGTACAAGGCTAAGGATTTGATGACAGGGAAGATAGTGGCCTTGAAGAAAGTTAGGTTTGATAATTTGGAGCCAGAGAGTGTTAAATTCATGGCCAGGGAGATTCTTGTGTTGCGGCGGCTCAACCATCCGAACATCATAAAGCTCGAGGGTTTAGTCATATCGAGGGTTTCTTGTAGTCTCTACCTCATATTTGAGTACATGGAGCATGATCTTGCGGGCCTCGCGGCAACTCATGGTGTCAAGTTCAGTTTACCGCAGGTTTGTGGTTTTTTTTTGTTTGAGTAGTACATGGTGATGGTATGAAATTGCTCTGCTTTGCTACTGTTTTTCTTTTTATTTCTGACACTGACAGTTCCTTTAATTGAATAATTTGATTTGGAAGAGAGTTTGAAACCATGAAATTTCATTAGCTCAGATGTTTATGATATTATATGATCCCAATGTCTTGATTATCAACTCTTTATGCTTGTTATCGGGGTTTTAACAGTTTTCAGTTCCATTTTCCCCGAGAATGTGTTCTTTCATTGTTTCAAGGATGTATTTTCGCGTTTGGATTTGGATTTACTTGATTCTTTTTATGTTTTTAGGAATTTCTGGATCAGGGACAATTTCTTTTTTGGTCACATAATAGTTTTGTCCTCTTGGTTTTGTTTCTTGTGTGCCTTGGATGATGCCGGAATGTTTCACTGGATTTCGGGACCCATATGATATTGGTGAATTATCAGAGTTCTTTGCTTTATGAATTGTCATACAGTGTATTTTAGATTCTTGTTTTATTTTGGGCAATGCATATGATACTGTTGTTTTGGCACTTGCATTTGCCTATTGCTAAGTGGGGGCTTTAAGAAGAGTTCAGTCAGAAAAGTACAGAAGTAAAGTCTCTTTTCTTGTTCCATTTTGATGCATGCTGAGTAGATCTTGTCTGAATCCAGCACATTACTTAAATGGATCTTCTGATAAAATATCAGCATCGGTTATCCTTGTTATTAATGTAGGGAAGTAAAAAGTGAAGACTTTGTTCCAGAAAACAGAAATAGAAACGGTGTGTAATTAGAGTTTGATATTCCTCTCTTTCTTGCATATTATGTAGTTGAATCATGGAAAATCTGTCCCGTGATTGTGCTCGTGTTTTATACCATCATATGATTTTGAATTCTTTGACCACATAGAATTGAGAAATCCCGGAAATTTTTGTTTTCTAAATAGAATATTCAACTTTTCTTTTTTCCAGATCAAATGCTATATGAAGCAGTTATTATCGGGGATTGAGCACTGCCATATCCGAGGTGTCTTACACCGTGATATTAAAGGTTCTAATCTGTTGATAGATAATGATGGAACTCTGAAGATTGCTGATTTTGGTTTGGCTACATTTTATGATCCCACGAAGAAGCAAGCAATGACTAGCCGTGTTGTCACCCTCTGGTACCGCCCTCCCGAGCTTCTTTTCGGAGCTACCCATTATGGAGTTGGTGTTGATCTTTGGAGTGCGGGTTGTATTTTGGCAGAGTTACTTGCTGGTAAACCCATAATGCCTGGAAGAACCGAGGTAGACAAAACCATATTTTTTTTTGTTCTTGTTTCCGTGTTATAATCTGCTAGGCATCTAAAGTTTCTGTCAAGTACAAATGTCTGGAGAAATCAAAGGGTGGAACTCTCATGGAAAATGAAAATGAGATCTGTATGTGGTTACAGATTTAGATTTGGACTCAAAATAATATTGTTCTATGTAGGTAGAACAACTTCACAAGATATTCAAATTATGTGGCTCCCCCTCGGATATGTACTGGAGAAAGTACAAATTGCCAAACGCGACGCTTTTTAAGCCTCAGAATCCGTACAAACGTTGCGTGTCTGAAACCTTCAAGAGTTTCCCTCCGTCTTCTCTTCCTCTAGTTGAAACCCTTCTTTCTATAGATCCCGATGACCGAGCCACTGCTACTTCCGCTCTGAATAGTGAAGTAAGTTGTCTCATCCCACCATTTCTCTTGCTTCATAATGGTTAAATGACTCTGAAACAAGAGGCTTCCGATCACTTTTAACCAATGCGAAACAAACGAGTCTTGTAGTCCTAACAGAGTTATAAGTTCTTGCGGATTAGATGATGTAAATTAGAGGAATCTCCTAAGCAGCAGCACGTTTTTTTTTGTCCGGCCTCTTGTTGCAGTTCTTTACTACAGAACCATTAGCTTGTGATCCATCAAGTTTACCGAAATACCCACCAAGCAAAGAATTGAATGTGAAATTGAGGGATCAAGAGGCAAGAAGGTAAATAAATGCATCTCCATCTTCTTGAATTCTTGTATGCTTTTTCCTGTTGATGCATAATCATATCATTGTTTAGATTGGTTTATTATCGATTTTATCGTCCTGTGTTTTGTAACTTAGGCAAAAGGGTGCAAGTGGAAAAGCTAATGCTGCTGTTGATGGAGCTCGAAGGATTAGATTTCGTGGGGACCGCACTGGTCGTGCTGTTCCAGCTCCCGAAGCTAATGCTGAGATTCAAGCGAACTTAGACGTGAGGGCTTCTCTCTCTTCTTATTCCGTTCATAAACACATGCACACAAGCACACAAATACATACACCCGATGTATACTGTTTATAGTAATTGGTTTGGGTACATAGATTCATATACTGATACATGCATATGGGTATTGCTAAGTTCAGCCATTCATATCACTGGGAACAGGTTTCAGTTGTTGTTTAGCTAAATACATTTTCTTTTTAGTAATTTTCCAATCTGTGAAGAATAAAGTTGTTGTTTCCTGGTCACATATTTGCCATTGAAAGGCACTTCATTCTGTCATCTTTCCGATGCCTTTTGCAGAGATGGAGAGTGATAACACAAACAAACGAGAAGAGCAAGAGCGAGAAATTTCCGCCGCCTCACCAGGACGGGGCGGTTGGCCACCCGTTAGACGGGTCGAATAAAAGTGCCGTCTTTGACACGTCGTTTGGCTCATCCCTGTCGAATGGTAAGTCATCGAGATCGCTCAAGGCCGGGGAAGGGACGTCGATGACGAAGGCTCCGATTAAAGACGGGTCCCGTGGATCTTCTTCGTCCAGGAGGTTCATATGGGGACTGAAACCTTCGGGACTAGGGATATCGATGGACTTACTATTCAAGAACAGGTCAGAAGTTTTCGGGAATCAAAGATGAGGTAAATGGTGGAAGACGGGTGGGTATCGGTTTTTTTTTTTTTTTGGCAAGAGTCGAATAAGAGACTGTTCCCGGGCTTTTCGGATGATTTGATTCTTTGTAGTAGAGTAGGTAGTGAAAGATGGAAAAGACAGAGAGATGTGGTTTAGGGTTTTGGATTTGGTGTAAAGAGGAAAACTTTCAGTACTTGTTTGGTTGTATATATGGCTGATTTGGAAATAATAGTAATCAAATGGAGTGGAAGGTTCCAAAAGACGATCTTTTGGTTGGTTTTCTTAGGAACCATTTAGTTGAAGTCTGAGTACACGCCATATGTGAACGCCAAACAATCCGATTTTATGGACATCCAGCCATTTGGATTTGAGTTCAGATTCCAATTTTGCAATTTTACGATCGGATATCCATATATATCTATATATATATATATATATATATATATAGAGAAAATGACCAAAATACGCAATATGTAAACAGAAAATAGAGGTTGTGGTCAAGAATGCAAAAATAGAAATTCGGGTTTGGATATCTATGATACTTGAATTTCGGAATATTCGAGCCGTATGAGGGTGGGAATGAGATGGAATTTCGGAACATTCAATCCGATGCATTCAAGTTTAGATTCAAATAACCCAAAATCCACCCGAACCCCCTATTGACAACATTTTTTTTCTGTTTCGATTTTATGGTTGTCTTGAAGGGTAGTGGCTCACACAAGGGGGGATGAATGAATGAGAGAGTCCGTCCCCCAAGAGATTTGAAACTGCGTCGTGTTTCTGTGTTGATGACTTTGGATGGATGACATTATTTGGATCTAAAACAAGCTCTCTTCGCCGCTCGAACGATATCCTCAGCCTGCACGTTACCACGACCAAACTAAGTTATCATACAACACTTTATTGTTATTCCAACGTTGCTTTCGATTCAGTTTTTTAACGGTTTTGTGTTGTGGGCATTTAGATTCCATTATGCATATCCAATATAAAAACCAAACAAATATGATTCTTTTAAACTTGAAAACGGGAATCTTAATCGAACCAAAACTGAATATAAAAATAACCCAAAAAACCGATTTTTTTAAATCCTATATATGAAACTAAATGAATATTACTTTTTAGGGTATTTTTATAGATAAAAACCGAATCTAATATAAAAACCGAGTAGATATAGGTTTTCTAAAACCAAAAACCGGAATGAGCACATCTAGTGGCTCTCAACGGATTAAGCGACTATTAACCGAGTTATAATGGATGTAAAACATGCATTCATAGGTGCGAGGTAGTGTACAAACCGACCTGAGGAACTGCCATTCTCTCCAGATTTGCAGCGTAAGGCATGGGGACATCGGCGCCTGAAATCCTCTCGATCGGTGCATCCAAGTACCCGAAACTCTCCTCAACAACCGATGTGCTGATCGATGAAAACGACGTAGTATTACGACATAAAGATCGAATTCCGAGGAATAAATAAAGAGAAAGAATGAAGAACAGATGTGGAGAAAGAAAGAGCAGAAGATAGGAGCTTTTTTTTTTCTTTTCTTTTTACCAGATTTCTGCACCAACTCCGTGTTGAGGAAACCCTTCTTCGACAGTAACCAATCTATTTGTTTTCCTTACAGATGCATTGACAGTGGCTCTGTCGAGGGGACGGATGGATCGGAGATTTATAACCTATCGTGAAAAGACAAACAAAAGGGTTTTTTAGTGGGAGAGTTCGGAGTTTACACATTGAGAAAACGAAATGAAGGAAATCATTGTACCTCAGCGTTTATTCCCTCTTTTGATAGCATTTCGGCTGCCTAGATAGATAGTATCAGAAGCAGAGTAAGACAGTCCCATATAAAATCATAAACTTAGTAAACAAATCCCAGAAAAATTATATGCATCCTTAAATTTCCATATCAAAATATGGAAATATCCCCAATGCTCAAATTTGATCATCCAGATATGAGGAAATATGGCAAAATTCAGATAGTTTATGTTTTTGTAATTGGGTACAACTTAATGTTTTGAACGGTGAAAAATAGCGATAATTTCAGTAGTTTTATTACAGTAACAACAGTAAAAGAGGGTGTCGATGGAGATTGGGAATCGCATACCTTGAGGGCAAGACCAACCATCTTCGAGAAAGCTGTTATTGTAACGTCTTTTCCTTCTCGTTCAATCTATGATTGCCAATGGTGGCATAAAGCATCCAACTTCTCGTTAGAATAGAGGGTAAAAAAAGGCTATTGAGAAGGAAGCTATCAAGTCACTGCACCTTGGCTTTGCCAATGGGAAGACAGAAACTTGAATCAAGTGCTTCTTCTGAAACAGGAAATGATTCACCATATCTGCAACACAGAATTAAGAAAGAGATTAAACAAAAAGGATACCAAAATCTGGTAATAATATGGCAAAGAGTAATTTAAATGGAAGTTAATTGCAAATCAAAATCACGCATACTACTTACAGTAACTCGTTTTCAAGGAAGACGACAGGATCGGGGTCTCTAATGGCAGCTTTAAGAAGGCCACGGGCATCTTCGGATGAATACGGAGAAAGAACCTTCAAACCGGGACATGAAGCATACCATGCTGCATAACACTGTAAAACGTAGACAATCAGAACATTTTCCTCTAAACATCTAGAGACAGAGATGCAAAGTCTGACCATAAACACACCATTTATGAATGTGAAAGTTGATCATGCTAATCATACAATGAATACACATCCCAAAGTCAACTTCCAGATGGACTTTATCGTAATGCCGTCTATGCATTACCAAATTTAAAGCTGGAAATAGTTAGGTATCACTGCTAAGAACCTCAGTTTGAAAGTGTCAGTGGATTGAACAATTTATAAGGAACGAGATCAATGTTAGAGCCAAAGGCAGTTCCTTGGTCATTTGACTCATTTCATTGAAATGCCACCATCAGTGTCAGAGAACCAAAAGTCACCTTTGAAAGAATACAAAGCAACTGATATTTCTTTCTTCTTTTCTTTCCTTATTGATATAAAGAAAGCCATATAGGAGAGTAGGAGTTAGTATTAAAACTTGCCTGGGAATGCTGAGCCCCAACACCCGCAGCTGCACCATTGGGTCCTCTGAAAACAATGGGTACAGCTATCTGCCCAGCAGACATGTAATTTGACTTTGCAGCAGAATTGATGATATGATCGATTGCCTGAAAGATGCCCAATAAGATGTTTGAATATGCACAAATAATGCACTTGTATTCAATGATGATATCACGAAAAATATTTGTAATAGAGTTCAGGATCTATAACCCAACAAGCAAGGGCCTGCATGTAGAATTTGAAATCACAAATAAAACCAATCTAACCTGCATGGAGAAGTTAAATGTCATAAATTCTACTACAGGTTTTAAGCCATAGTAGGCAGCACCGACTCCAATCCCAGCAAAACCAGCCTAGACAGAAAAAAAACTATAACTGTCAGAAACCTTCTCAACCTTAGGAAAAACTGAATGAAAGGATTGCAATTGCACTGGATACAGATAGTATAGACGGCCTCACCTCGGTGATAGGGGTATCACAGACTCTCTCAGGACCATATTTTTCCAAAAGGCCTTTAGTGATCTATTCCAAAAAAAAGATATCATTGACCTCCAGCATAAGAAACCAGGACCGAAACATGATTAAGTTGATATAAATCATTTTCATCAGATTGACAGGTTCGAACCTTGTATGCACCTTGGTATTGACCAACCTACAAAAAGGATGATGAAGGTGAAATATAATTACAAGAAAGAAAGGGGATCAATCAATATACCACAATTTATTTTTCAGCTAACCTCTTCACCCATGATGAAAACTTTAGGATCTGCAGACATTTCCTCATCAAGCGCCGAATTTAGAGCATCTCTCACCGACATCTATACAAATATTTTGCAAAAAATCTTCTATAAAATTTGGGGAAATTCCTAATACAAGGAAAAGGTTTCAACAGGATTGATAAAGACAGGAGATTAAGTCGGCTTCCTCTTACGAATCTACGAAAGTTAAATGTACCGAGAACAACTTAGGACTGCATTTCTCAGGACTCTAAAACATTTCTATTCAAAATGCCACGATGGTGCAAGTTTCTAAGCCCAACATTTTCACTACCAGAATGCAGGGGAGACTAGCTAAGACGCCTTAATGTTTGTTTCATGATCATCTATGACACCATCCATTTTTTGCATACACCCATTTACAGAGCCAAGAACAGCAGGCAGCAAACTACAATCATTATTTTCTTTGTTTAAAAACTATATCTTCGTAGTCTATGCTTTCAACACAGAAATGAGAGTGTTCCAAAACTCAAAAAGACAATATTCAAGCATCTTCTCTAAAGAAACAGTATATGAGATCCGTGGGTATTTCAGAAGACACAATTTACCAGTTCTTTTCATCCAAAACTGATAAAACTATCTCCTTTCGCACATGAAGAACTGAAAAACCACAGAAAGAGGAACCGCGTTCTTATGGCATTCCCAAACCTATACGCGAAGCGCAGGAATCACAAGGCAGCTAAATCCAGTAAACCCATTACCTCCTTCGCGGCGGCAGCGTAGCTCCTAGAGGAAACCAAAGCGGATCGCACCCTTCTGAGAGACTGGTCAAAATCCATATCAGAACAATCACAAGCACGAAATTCGGTCAATATAAATCAGTTCCGAATCTAAAGCTTCAACGACATTCTCAATCGTAATCCCAAAAAAGCGGAGCAGAGCACCATTAAAATACAAAAAAATAAAGCTTCTTACCGTAGCAGAAAAGCCTCCATCGACGATGCTTCGCCTCAAGATTCCCCACATTCTCTCCAATTCAACGATCACTATCAATATCAGACAACCAGATCTAATAATCACGACATATTCAAAACGGAATCATTTCCCGGACAAAAAAAACACGACAACGAACAACGAAATGAAACCGTCAAAATCGAAAGAGACAGAGATAAAAAAAAATGATCACCGGAGCTCCGAAGATCGGCGGCAGCAGGTGGCGACGCGACGGCGGAGGGAGAGAGAGAGAGAGAGACGACTTGGAGTAAGGCCAGGACGAAAGGACTGTTTTTTAACAGACTAGGAATTTTCAATTAGTTGTGTGTGACTTGGTAGGTACTAGGTATACGTGATCAAACAATGAGAGCCGTCCGATTGATCTAACGTTATTACGACGAACGGTCAAGATTTCGTATTTGAATATTACACGTTGGAGAATCAATTTCAGAATTTGGTTATACTTTTATTAAGAAAGTGGATTGATTATAGGGTGCTGCAGTGATTATAATAGTAAGAGCTTGTAGAATCGTTGTCCGAAAAGAATCATTGTATTATCTCTGATCTCTAAATTATAATTATGTTATTTAAAAACCGTGCTTTTATATCTTTAAAACAAAATCTAATAGAAAGATAAATGTTTTGGTTTGAATATATAAAACGGGATTAAATACATAAATTAAAGATATTATAATTATATTTGAAATTGAAAAATATTTTTTTTAAAATATTAATTTTTTTGGATCCCGAATAACGAAATACCGTAAAATAAAAAACAATATTAATAATTTTATAAAAGATCTTTTTCAAAAAATCTGATAATAAAAATAATTTTATTAAAATGAAATTTAATATATAAATTAATGATATAGTTTTTTATAAAACTAACATAATGGCATAAAAATAACTAAATATGGATCTATATTGAATAATGTAATTGTTTTTTTTTTCCTTTAGGATTACAACTCTTTTGTAGTAAATCAACGTGTCATGCACAAAAAGCTTCTCAAAGTACTATTTTGGTTTCATAATTTAATTCGAAAGCACATTTATTTTTAGAAAAACACCTTTCACATTTTTGTCACATTCCCACAGACGGAACCTTTTTTTAGACCAAACTTGATATTTGGATAAAAAAAATACCGTCAAGAATATTTTTTAAATAAAATAAAGTTAGTTCGTATTTCACAATAAAACATAATTTCGATATGTTTTTTAATTGAATTCTTTAAAAGTTTAAATAAATTCGAAACGCGAACCCACCAACCTTGATGTATGTAATCAATTCTACCACAGCTCCTAATTCCTAAACCGTACATGACCTGACCATTTCTATAATTACCATTTTACCCTTGACCTTTATAAAATTTGCAAAAAGACCATTTCACCGTATGCTTGTCTCAAGTCTCAACTGGTTTTTTTGAAAGCTGAGTCGCCTCATAGAACGCTGTTGCCTGCCGCCTCTGCTGTCGTCGTCGGTGGTCGTCTCCCGTCGCCGCCTCGCCGCCACCGCGGCCATCTGCATCTTTGCCGCCGTATTCCGTCTGTTGTCTGAACTCTCGCTTCAGGTATGCTCTCTCTTTCTTTCTCTCACTCATTCGCCTGCTCAGCTCGGTTCATTGTTCTTTTCACAGTTTTGATTATTTTCCATTTCCTTTTTTTTGGTGTATGTTTCTATTTCGTATCAATCTGGAGATTCTGAGTTGCTTAGGGTTATGAATGATTTGATTCGAATCTGATCTATGATGTCGCTTTTGGATAGCGTATAGAGCACAAGGTGCTCGGCGTAATGTCCAAAAGATAGATCTTGTTAAGAATCAAGCTAAAGTGCGAACGGAGCTTTTAGTATCTTCGTCTCTGTAAAAGTTTACTGCTGCTACATGAGCGACAGAGATTGCGTTCGATGTTTCTGTGTCCTTGCCACATGAGCCACTCGAATTGTTTCCGAAAATTTCTATGGAATATTTAGGAACGGGATTAGATAGTTTTGTGTTTGTTGTTTGTATTGTTCCTATTTCTAAACTGCAAATTTGTAATTGTTGCTAATGCTAAACTATATATGTACTGATACTGATTTCTTTACTGTATATACGTATGTTATCTAGGTAACCATACTGTTCATGAGGATTTTGCATCGTATTACATTTGTCAATCTGGATCTGTTGGTAGGTGAATGATTTTTGTTTTGAAATCTTTTTGCTCCTACTCGAACCAGTTATCAGATGTCAATTAAATTTCACCATTGAAAATTATTTTTGAGTAATCTTTAAAATGCCATTTGGATTCCCCAAGTAAATAATCTGTTCGAATTGATTAATTCATTAAACAGGCCTCGCATACAGTGAATAAAACCGGTATGAATCACTTTTTGGATCGAGCAAGTGCCAAGCCTTTGTTTATATTCTCCAATCTGCTGTAATTTTGATATTTGAGACTTTGTTGGCCAATGAAGTCAAGTATGTTAGGAGAATTTTTACCATTTTGTAGTTTCATTTGTTTTCTTCAGAATCTTGATTATTTTTCCCAACTTGGGTAATTTATGGTATGAACTCTCTGCAGATCAGAGTGAGGTAAGGGAAACTGATGGATTCAGATGCATGGCAAATCATCCACATCCCAGGAAAGCCTCCGGTTTCACCTGATAACCAGCCAACTGGTTTGTTCCACATCTGGGAGCCTTTCTTGTCAAATATATCCAATCAAGGTTTTTCTAATCTCTGTCGTGTTTTTCTTGTTCTTAGTGGGCGTATATGCAAGCGTCATTGAGCCCAAATCCGCCAATACTCTTGTGAGGTTTGTTGTGTTTTTTCTTCTATCGACCATGGATATCTGCAACTGAGAGGTTGTGCAGTGTTTCATTAACTCTTCATTTGAATTGATTAACTCTATGACCTTGTTATAGGCATTTATGCCGGGTTTCGCCTCTTGAAGATCTCCGTCATGTTAAACGAATACGAAAGGAGATTCTCCCAGATCGAGGTATTTAAGTTAAAATTCTTAATACACTGGTATGGCGAGCATTCAATCCCATTTGATATGGTCCTGATCGCTCGTTTATTTGACAGGTGAAACTAAGTTAACCGTCATTTTATGTCTAGCACCTGAGCATGATGAAGGTCAATCGAACAATATGCCACCAGATGTTCAAGATCTCGTTAATTCCTATCAGTTGAGTCCTTTTTTGGCAAAAGTAGGTTAGCTTTTTCTTTCATCTCATATGAATCTTCTTCAAGGTTTCTGTATTTCAAAAGTTTACGTCGAGTTTTCTTTTGTTGGTTTATACATACAGTAAAAAGACAATTTTTTTTGTTCTAATTTGGTAGGTGTGCAAATATGCTGCATTGTCGAAAAAAGAGTGGGAAGAACAATGTAAACTGTGGCCAACTTCATACCATCCACCAACCTAGTAAGCGCTACATTATTTGTTGGATTTCAGCTTATTTGCATTCTTGACTATATTTGTCTTGAATAATTTGATCTATTTACCATAATCCATTTACCCTTTCTTTCATTACTGTAAATGTTTTTTGTTGCATGCGGTAATCATAAACGTGTTGCTGTCGTTGTTTTGACCTTTAAGGTTGATCAGGTAATCTGTGTTCCTTTGCATCCAAGATATTTTCATTGATATGTCATGCACTTTGAACAGTTTTCCAAGAGCAGTATCTAATAATTATAATTGCTTTACTGATGGATGAAGATACAGAACATGACCCATGTTGCACGGACCCATACAGAACATGACCCATCAATATAATTTTCCGCATACTCATACTTGTCATTCAATTTCATGTGTTTCAACAGCAATGTCGATGGCATTGGTGGCTTTAGCGACGAGGACTCACAATCAGTTTGCAAGTTCATGAGACTTGTAATTAATCTTGCAATATCTGGGGACAAACCAGTAAGTTGTTAGCTTCTTCTCGTAAACCTATGCTCTCTGATCATGATCCCTAACCATAACAAGCCCTTTGAATGTCTATGGATTAACAAGGTTGGCGGCCTGTTTGTCGATAAGAGATTGCAAAACTAAGATCAGATCTCTAATTCTGTATCATATTCATCTATGTCTGATATAATATCAATCATCTTTTAGTTGATGTGACCCTTTTTGCTTTTTTAATTTTGCCTATAAAGGTTCTGATGAACAACAAGAAGAGGTGTCCATGTATCATAGTTAAGGTGCTAAACTTTTGATGCTGTCTTTTTTCAGCTAGTAAATGCTGCAGTAATGGTCGATCCTTCATCTAGGCAAGTAATAGCAAGTGAAACTGATCAAGTCCATCTCTCATTTGCTCCTCACGACATTACAAGCCGTGAGACCAGTGATCGTACGGAGACGTTCTTCTTAGATGGCACGCTTGGCGAGAAAAAAGGTTCATGCTCTGCTGTTGCTTGTTTAAATCCTTGGTGTTGGAGTTTAGAACGGAATATTGCCCAAGAATGTGACCAGTGGCACCCTCTAAGACATGCTGCTATAGTCGCAATCGAATCTTCTTCTACAAGAGATAGAAATCTTTTCCCCAATCCCGTAGATGATCATGTCCCGAATCATTATGAGCTCTTCAGCATCGATTCTCCTTCAAAAAAGCAAAAAACGAGTATCCAGAGTCCGGACGGGACTGTGAGTTCATTCTAACCACGGCTTTTCAAAGTTCATCCGAATTCTTTCTGTAATAAACCATTATCACTAATATGTTTTAGCTTTTCAGCGGTCAAAAAATGGCAATAGAGAAAATGCTCTTGAAGATACGATAATGGAGAGGCCCTACCTTTGCACTGGTTACGACATTTTCCTCCTTTGGGAGCCTTGTACAATGTGAGTATGTGGAACAAAGACGCATTTCTACACTTTCCTTTTCCACGACACTTTTTTTCGTTCGCCCTGTAACGAGATCGTGATGTTTTCTGCTGTACAAGGTGTGCCATGGCGCTGGTTCACCAAAGAATAAAACGGGTTTTCTACGCTTTTCCAAACCCCAAAGCGGGCGGACTCGGGAGTGTACACAGGCTTCAAGGAGAAAAGAGTCTGAACCATCATTATGCAGTATTCAGAGTTTTGGTACCTGCGGAAGTCCTTGGACCGCATCATCATATTGCGTCATCTCCTGAAGGAGTAAGTCGGGTTTTATTGGGTTCTCTAATATGATTTTAGAAATCCGATTTTGTGGTATTCTATATACAAGTAATCACTATATTTATTACCTAATCAAGAGCTTCCATTTATGCTCTTGGTCTCTCACCTAATCTGTTTTTTCGCGTTCTAAGCTATCAGTTTTAGAGCCAATTTTCTCTTCCAACTTTTTTTTTTCTTTTTTGCAGCTACAAAATATTTTTTAGCTCATTTACCGCAGAGTAATGCCAAATGCATGTGTGTATGCATATACACGTATATGCATCAATTAGTCGATGAATTCTCTTGCAGAAGACAGAGTGGCGGTTCCCATCGCAACCGAGGAGGCCGTCACGTTTTGAATGTGTACTTCTTTTCGTGATTTAGTTTCGATCTGGTTCTTAGGACCGGATCTAAATTGATGACTACCCCTGTTGCGAGTCAGATTCAAGTACCCAAAATTTCAAATCCAATGTTTATTTCTGCCAAAAAAATTCAAATTGATTTTTCTGAGAAAATCGATTTGGGTAGAGCGCATTAATGTACTATTATGTGGACTTTTGAAGCTTTTTGTTTTGGAACGATTTAACAAGTTGACTTGGAATCAAAGATGTTTTGCTTACCTTTGAATCAAACTATGAATGCACTACTACCCGGGATTTGAAAGTACTCAATTTCACGTGCGATGGTTTATGAGCGAATCATGGAAGTTTGACAATGAGGTTTTCTGTTTCCGAAACGACCCTGGTTTTGGAAGAAATCGTTTATCCCATATATGCTCAAAGATTATAAGATTATATATATAATCTTTGGCGTTATAGGTATTACTAATAAATAAGTTAATATCTATTACTAATAAATAAACAAATATTTGTCGGCTTGATCAATGAAAGTTACAAGGTATTTATTTATTCTTTAATTTTGTGATAGTATCAGAATCCGTAAATCACGAGACCACTGAAATGTGAGGTTTTTCTATGCGCGATTTGGTACGCTGTGGGTATCAACTGCCGAGTTTCGTCATTCAGATATCTCGATAACGATTTAGTCAATGTGTCGTGATTTTGTAAAAATCTTGGGCGAGGGCGATGGTGGCGAAGCTGACAAGCGTGTGTGCTGGGACAAGTGCATTGCGAGCACTCCCCGGCGGCAAGTTCAGCTCGGCCAATACCTCAGTGCCTCTCACCCACTGTGCTCAACGTTACGTGGATTTGAGTATGCTCGTCATGAACCGCTTTCCGTCCATGCAATGATTCTACCTTTGGATCAGAAAATGTTACCCTTCTCTTCTGTTCGTTTCGGTTCGGTTATATAAAAAGAACCGATCGAAACCAAATAACGCGTAATTGTAATTGTACCTATACCCTGACTAAATTAGATATAAAAATTTAATGGACATGATCTTTTTAAAATGGAATAACCGAATATATAAAACAACCCGGAGAAAATAATTTTTAACAAATAAATATTTTTATAATGAAATCATATCGATAGAAAATTGAATGATATCTATTTTAAAACTAAAAAATGGAATTAAAAATATAATTGAATCCAAAGAAAAAAACCAAAATGGTTACCCTACATTTTCTTCTTATTGAAGGGTTGTGTGGGATTTGGACATCAAAAATAGTTCAACACGATGAAAAACATCCTTCCCCAAGGTACTAGTAAAAGAATAAAGACGATGAAAGCTACAACCAAATGACACAATCAAACACGGTTGAATCAGATCAAAATTAAGATTCAAAGAAATTTTCAGAATAGAGAAGTAACACTAATTTCAGAAGGAATCAAAACAATTGTTTCACGCAAACATGAACCTAGTAGGCTAGTAGACACAACATATATATAAAGACAACACCACACATAGAGAGAGAGAGAGAGAGAGAGAGTTCAATGCGAAGAGAGGATGATGAATACCTAGGGTATACATTCAAGGTCCTTGAAGTAGTCATGCAATAGCGCATCCCGCGCTGTGATTCTTCTGCTCGGATCCATTTGGAGCATTTTCTGAAATTAGGATTGCGAAAAAAGCTAGTTTGTTTCAAGAAATACGAACCGGTAAAACATATTCCAACAAGTCATGTCATCGTCACATTGTGCTGATATCCGATGGACTATTTTGCTTTTAAGCATCAAAAACAAAAGCTGAAAATATAAACCGAACTTACAGAAAGAAGATCGATGCCGGCTGGATCCAGAGTTGGGACGACAGTTTCCAAGTCCTGAAGGAAACAAGCAGAGGATTAGATTTGTAATTGTAATTAATCAGGTTTCAAGTTTCAGAAGCAGTTAATCAAAACTGCCTTTTTACCTTAGGAGCCCATTTGGGGAAAGCAGATTTATAGTCAGGCATGGAAGTCACTCCTGGCCACGTTTCCTCAGTTGGGGTACCCATAATTCTTCAAGAATACATTCAATATTTAGAGATTGAGAGAATAATCACTGAAACTTCGATTGAGAAATTTTCTGATATTTTTCCTTTTCGATTAGCTAGTTTCTAGGTTAATTTCTCCAATTCAGGGAAATTATAATGCAATACGAGATAGCGAATGAGACAACAAATGCATGTATGATAACATGCTAAAATTGTAACGATATTCTTGTGAATCATAAAAATCTGTGAGAAGCTGATTCTGGAATGCAGAGAAGGGCATGCATTTCATCGGTGTATCAAAAACCAATTACCTGAAAATCTTGAATAGTTCATCAATTTCTGAGTCTCCAGGAAATAGTGGCCGGTGATTAACCATCTCAGCAAAGATGCATCCAACAGACCATACATCAACAGGAGTAGAGTACTGGCGGGATCCCAATAATATCTCGGGCGCCCTGTACCAGAGAGTCACCACCTAGAAAAGAAGAAAGATTATAACAACAAAGAAAAAGGATGGAGTGACCAAATATATTTCCGGAGTTTCTTGCAATACCTCATGTGTAAATGTTCTAACAGGAATACCAAAAGCTCTAGCCAGCCCAAAATCAGCAAGCTTTAGCGAATTGGTTCGACGATCAATCAGTAAATTTTGGGGCTTCAGATCTCTGTGTAGAACCCTATGAGAGTGACAGTACGAAACTCCACGAAGAATTTGATAGAGGAATGACTGCAGATACAAGTAGATAATAAGGGCTCACTCACAAACAATATCAGAAATAACTAAAACCTAACCGAGAAACCAATGAAGCTGCGAACCACAGGAGACTTTTTGTTTGAATCATGATCGTACTAGAATGAAACTAGTATTCAACCTTGCTGACTTCAAAATCATATAGGAGAGAGAATCTCACTCACTTTGATCCTTTGTGGATCTTTTGAGAACTCAGGACATGTGTCCATAAGTTTTTTCAAATCTAGGTCCAAGTACTCAAATACCAAATACAAACGCTTGTCGCTGTGCACCACATCCTGCAACCTAAGAGATATCACAGCATATTACTATTTCATCGGGTAGCAGAGAGGGAACTAAGAAGAAGAAAAAGGATTTGGGTACATACTTGACAATATTACCATGCTGCATCTCTTTTAACAGAGAAATCTCTCTTATAGCAGTGCTTGGTACACCTTCATCTTCTTGCTCAAGGCGGATCTTCTTCAGAGCCAATGTCTCGTTGGTTAGTTTGTCCCGAGCTTTATAAACCACACCATATGTTCCTTCTCCAATCTTCTCAACTTTCTCGTACTGGAAGAGCACAGAGAGTCTTAATCGTGAAAGGATAATAACAATTAAGATGAATAAGATCAACTCAGCTACCACCAACCTGGTCCATCAAATTGGCTGAATGAATGGAACCGACAGACTGTGACAGAAGCTGAGAAGTTAGAATACAGAAAACAGCCTCATGAAGAATTTATAAAACCAAGAAATACAATTTGATCAGCTGAAAACAGACATAAACCACGTCTGATCAAGTCCATATTTCTCAATTCGTAATCAACGCAATTCAGTTCAAATACTGAAAAATAGCATCACATTTAGAAAGAAGATCTATACTTATGATCAAATACTATGAGAGCACAACACATCATGAAATTGACAGGCAAAAGAATAGACTCCGAGAATTACTCGTCACAGGAGACGAGTTCACTAACATACAATACAAAACCTGCAGATGAACACGAGTGTCACGAACAAATCGCTAGCATTAACTCGGACAGATTCCACTGCATCAAACACAAAATCAATAATAATCCTAAGTCCTAACATTGCTTTGACTTCAAAAGTGAAAGAGGAAATAAAACCGGAAGATCGATGAAGCGAGCAAACCAAAAAGCGCATTTAATCGGAAGCCATCAGAAGCTACTGCTCGATTCTACCTACATTTGCGGTACTCAAACCACTAGAACACGGAAATCATGCTCACTCTCGCTTCACAAACTCGATTATTAGCAGATTGAGACGAAGAACGCGAGGAAACCAAAAAAAAATACAGACAGCGAGAGAGCTCGGATCAGCCGGAACTCACCACCGGATTTGCGATGAGATGAAGAAACCGGAGGAGTCCCGATCGGCGGAGATGCAACTTCTCCGGCGAGGACTCGTCCAAATTGATGGCGGTTTCTAGGATTTGGCTGCGGATGAGGAGTGAGAGGGCAAATTGAAGCAGCAAGTTAAAAATTGCAATTTAGAAGAAAATAAGAGCCATGATATTGCTATTTATTTAGTAATCCCATTTTCTATCATTATTTTCCCGCGATGATAAAATTAAGAAATGAGCGAGGGAAAAAAATTATAACATCAGACGCGAAACTCGAGGCTTCTTTCTTTGATGACCTCTCGTGATTAGATATGCAAAGTAATCGTGATTAGATGCGCTTAATTAAATATTTAAATGATAATTTAGATACTAATCTAATCATATAATAAAAATTATTTGGACTGGGTCTGGCCCAAATACATAACTACAAGTGGTTTGACCTACAAATGATGTGATGGACCCAAAATGTCTGGAAATAAATTTGAGACGACACCAATCTGAACCAAACTAAGAATTTATTTTGAAAATTAGAGTATTTCAGTTAGGATTCAAATATTTCAACTCGGACTCAAATAATCAAACATGTAATGCCCACGAAAACAGATATGAATTTGGATTTTTTTTTTCAAGTTTTGGATATTAAATTCAAAAATATCGATAAAATACACAAATATTCCTAATAATAATAAAAAAAATTACAAAATTATTGTTGTCATTAACATTAAACCTATATACATTTCTCAAATGCACTCGTTTCTCATTATATACTTTGGAAAAGGTGAGCTCTGCGTGGGCAAACTTAAAAAATGTACCTACTTTGGCTACATTGACTTCAGTGCATATCTCTGAAAAAAGACATAAAAAATACCTTCAGATACGACCTTTATAATTATGTTTTTCTCATAATACCCATCTATGTGGGATCCATAAATAAAAAACCTGACACGATACTGTAGAAAATTTAAAAGAGAGGGAAAAGAGTAGTTTTCGGTTTCGTATAAAAAAATTTAAATATTTTAAAATTTAAAAAATTTCATCCATTACAAAAAAATTAAATTTTTTGTTGGGAATTTTAAAAAATTTCGGTGTGTCTAGTGTGACCAGTGTGACTAGAATTGCAGTGTGACTAGTATGACCAGTGTGACCGTGTGACTAGAGTTTAATATTAAGTTATGTGACCTATGTGATCAGTGTGTCACGTGTGATCAGTGTGACCAATATGACCATAATTTAAAATTTGAACGGTGTGATCTGTGACCAGTGTAATCTATATGACCACTGTGACCTGTATGACCAAAATAAATTTTGAACGGTGTGACCAGTGTGACCAATGTGACCGTAATAAATTTTGAACGGTGTGACCAGTGTGACCAGAATAAATTTTGAAAGGTGTGACTAGTATGACCAGTGTGACCAATTGACCAGTGTTACCAGTGTGACCAGAATAAATTTTGAACGGTGTGACCAGTGTGACCAGTGTGACTAGTGTGACCAGTGTGACCAGAATAAATTTTGAACGGTGTGACCACTGTGACATGTGTGACCAGTGTGATTTGTATAACCAATGTTAAATTTTGAATGGTATGACCAGTGTGACGTACCTTTGTTTCGTTGACAATATGTTCTATTATCACTCCGAAAATCCATTTGGGATTAGAGATGCGTTTTTGTACATTTTTTGACAGTTTTACTCTGCAAATATCTTATTTTCATCAAATACCATACGATTCACTTCAGATTCATAAAACTCAAAAACAAAAACAGAAAGTTCATACATTGAACCAATCTCATTTATTAATAAACTTACCTTATGTTCTTGTTACTTGTTCTGTCTTCGGCCGAATCTCGAAGGAGATATGAAGTCATCGATGGAGAAATGTTCAATGGAAAAACTATTTCGTTTGTTTGACTGTGTGTAAAAATGAAATGAGAGTTAGAAAAATGAAGAGTTGAGAAAGAGAGAAGAGTTGAGAAAATGAAGAGTTAAGAAATTCTGAGAAAGAGATGATAGTTCAAAATGACTAAATGAGTGGAAGAGAGTTAGAAAATATTTTAATATTGATTTGTGTTCTATCACGTTACTTTTTAAAAGAGGTAATTATGTCTTTTGTGTATTTTTTTTTTATTGAACTTAAGAGTTTTGAAAGACAGTTCGTGAAGTCTTTGTAACAAAGTAAATATATTTTTCTATTTTGCCGCTCTGCGTGCTTATTCTCAATTGTATAACTACATTGTTGCGATCTCTCAATAATAAATTTATTATTTATTCGCATTCAACTACTAGAATATTTCCTTGGTAACCAAAATTCACGTGTCCGACTTCTTCTACGAGATGGGATAATAAATTTATTCTTTATTCGCATTCAAATACAAATACCTCTAAAATTTTTAAATATTTATTTAGTATTAATCCTTAATTTGAATAGTTTCGACGAAATCATGTTAAAAAACAATTATATATAAAAAAAAATTTGACCTGTTATTGTACTAACTACTATTTTGCATAAAATCCATCTCACTGTCTAGAACATTGTAAGTGATATCTGCTATCTATTCTCTAAAAACGATCTAGCTAAAAAAATATTTATAATGTACTGAAAAATTCTATAATATGAAATCATTTTTTTTAAATGAAGATGATATATTTTTATCATGTTTTTATTGTTTTAGTTGAAAAGGAGTTCCCCGTGTAAAGGTTTAAAAAAAACAAATTAACAAATGTTGGTCGTATAGTTCACTTCCCTATACTTAGAATATGACTAATCAAACTCAGATCTCATTCGGACATTTCAAAAGTAAGGGTTGTTTATGCAATTAATACAAAGTTTCAGGGTGTTTTATAAAATGATCTCTTAAAAAAATATAAAATAGGTCCTACCGGGAGTCGAACCCAGGTCGCTGGATTCAAAGTCCAGAGTGCTAACCACTACACCATAGAACCATATATAAATATATATCTTTATAAATTAAATATTATATAACAATAAAGTTTTAATTTAAAATTTTAATTTTCCATAAATTTTGATCATGTATTGATTTCTATTATTATTATTTTAATATCCCTAATCTCTTACAGTTCATTTTATAAAATTGAAAATTTGTATTAAAAAAAAACTCATGTCCGACCTCTATTGATCTATTCTACCTAGATTCAGCTTAATATATAAATCAAACACGATAAATTTTTTATTTCGATTCGTTTTTCCTATTTTAATATCTAATAAAATAAAACACAACTAATTTGGTACAGAGTTAATATAATAACATTAACAGTACAGGTATAACAGTATCTTTTTCATGGAATAAAATAATTAATGGTGCCATTCTTTAATGAATTATACACACTGACGTAATCTATGGCATATTATCTCATAGATTCAATATAATTCCTTTTCAACGCTACATTGCTTAGTTTTTTAGAAAATTGCCACGTTGTTTTATATATATATAATATCATTCCCCGCTAAATCATCATCATCATCATCATTAGTAGATGAATTTTCTTTGTAGAATGAATTTTTATATTATATATAAAATGTATTCTATTTTTTCATCAAATATATATATACACACATATAATATTTATATTTGAGATATATACGAATATATTTCAAATTATGAAAAGTACAAAAAAATAAAAATAATTTATATTTTTAAATCAAAATTTCATAATTGTAGTATTAAATATATTTATATAGTGATTTATTAAGGAGACGTTTCCACCATATACGTATATATACAAATCGTTTGGAGAAATTACCTTGGCGTGCTGCTATTTAGGAAAGGTTTTCTTTCTAATTTTTTTTTTCTGCATTTAAAAGGCACATTTCGTCCCAACTTAAATCTATTTTTTTTTATAAGTCCTAACTTGAATCTTTGTCCCCTCTTTATCTTTGTTTTTTGGTCGTTTTGTCTCCTCCATTATGTTTTCCTCAATGTTTATATTATAAGTTTTTTTTTTTATGAAGATATATTATAAGATTTTATAAAACTTGGAACTCATTTTTTGGTTTTTTCTTTTTTGTTTCTTATAACAAATTGTTCACCAAAATTGTTTTTTCTTGCGTTTTATTCAGTTCTAAAAAATTCATTTGTATTATTTTCTTCATACACTAAAAACTATTAAAATATATGAAACAAACCAATCGGAGCAAACCAGACTTGAATTTTCGACTCTAATACGTATTTAACCATTTTAAATTTATGGATATAAAAAATATAGCGCAAGCAAACATTGTGAGGGAAATCTTCTTGGTAATGGCTTAAAATGTTCTTAATTGCGACTCGATCGATACATCCCCATGCTAAAACCAGACAATCCAAATATCACAAGTTCAAATGTCAACGAACGCATTCAGATGACATCATAGATTGGGTCAAGGGTTTCAACTTCCCTTGTAGTAAAATAAAACATATATGATTTTAAAAATCGGTGCAGATAGTTCATCATCTTAACCAGAGATTAAGGGTTCGAATTTTTTTTAGGAATGTAGAAATATTTGAAATCGGTGTTTTACTAATTTGTTCGATAATTTAGAGACGAACGAAAATTAATCTGAATATATAATATTTAAATATGTCGATATATAATTAAACTCTGTTTATTAATCTTGTGATCAATAAAAAACAGATATATTATGTTCATCTTATATTAACTTTCTTGAAAGGAAAGATAGAAGTCTTATGCAAATATACACAACTCTTATACCAAAAAAAAATACATATACACAGCTCCAAATACGTGTGTGTGTGTATATATATGTCTGTAAATACATATCTAAATTTCATATATATAAATGATATTGATTTCACATACATATATATACACACATGCATGTACGCATGATGTTTGTGTGCCAGGTGGACGACGACTTCCCCTCAAAGCCAAATGCGTGGTCAAAATCCAACACCTTTTTAACATAATGTGTCCGTTGACCAATGAATTTAGATAAATAAAGAAAGAGATAAGCTTAGAAAAAAAAATTAAGTTTAAAGAAGTCTATTATTGAGCATATAGCACGAGTGCTTATATTGGGAAGTATGGGCCTACTACAATAGTTCTGCCTACATAAACCCCTCTCCTACTTGTCAACCCCCCACAATCTCTCTCTCTCTCTCTCTCTCTCTCTCTCTCTCTCTCTCTCTCTCTCTCTCTCTCATTTTCGCCCTGATGTTCTATAAATTCGATGAACAATGACCAAATCAGATTACCCATTTGGATTTTCATTAACCCTTGTCTTGACCCAGAAGAAAAAAAGCTGTCTTTTCATAGGTTCTTGCCTGGGTTCACAATATCTGAAGAGCGCTGTGTGTTCTTGACTTTTTTTTGTTAGAGTTTTCAGCAAAATGGAATCAACGAAGAAGAAATGGTCCATAAAGGAGAATCCGATACTGAAGACATGGAAAAAGATGAAATCGTTAGGGCACATGAGCAACCGCAACAAGAAGAACAAGACTCCAGATCCATGTTCATCGCCCTTGCCATCCTCTTCCTACTCCGCGCCATCGTTCGCGAAAAGCCGGTCGTGGCACTGCTCCGCCCTTCAATCCGACCTTCACGAGGAAAAGAAAAGCCCAAACGACAAGAGAGATCGAACGGCGATGTTTGCGCCGCGTGGATGTTTCACAGTCTACGTGGGTCCCAAGAAAGAGAGGTTCGTGGTCAGGACAAAGCTGGCGAGCCATCCGATGTTCAAGATCCTGCTGGAAGGTGCGGAAGAAGAGTTCGGTTACAGAAGCGAAGGACCCATTGTTCTTCCTTGCGAGGTTGACTTTTTCCTCAAGGTTTTGGCGGAAATGGAGTCTCTCGACGAAGAAGACGAAGAAGACTGGAATAACAACCTTCCGGTTTGCGGGCTGTGCAGTCCGTACAGATCGTACGGTGGTGGAGCGGATTCCACGGCTGTGAAACGCTACGGATCCTACAAGGTCCTTCGAACTCCGCCAACGTTCAAACTGAACTCAGTATGAGTTTATGTTGCAAAAGAGTCCCTGTCTCCCTAAGCATGTAAATAGAGTGAATATTGAAAACTACAGCAAAAAATAGAGGAAGAGAGAGATAAGATCACCAAGAGAAGTAAAGTAAATGAGTTGTTCTTCTTGCTAAGCCTAGAGGCGCATATACACTATATCCTTGTAACTGTGTAGAGATTTGTTGGTTATTGGATTTATGTTATCTAATTTTTGTATCGGACAATTTGTGGGTCGAGTTACATTGTATTTTAAATTGGTTCCTCCATCTTTTTTTTTAAATCGCATATAAATACCCGAATTTTTACAAAATTATCGGATAAATATCAAAGGTATAAAATCTCAGATAAATACTGAAAATTTTCAAAACTTTCACATAAATATCCAAACTTTTAAAAAATTGCCAAATGAAACCAAAATCTAATAACAATGTTAAATTTACTATGGAATTTATCGGTTGATAATTGTTGACTTAAGATTCTGACGCCGTCAATAAATGTTGTTTCATTTGGCAAAATTTTGAAAGTCTATATATCTATGTTTGAGTTTTGAAAAGTTTAGTTATTTATTTAGAAATTTAATAGTTTATATATTTATTTGAGAATTTTTGTAAAAATCCAGATATTTATATACCATTTTTTGTTGTTGTGTGTGTTTGTAATACATTGGTTTAAAGTTTAAACTTACAAGCTATGGACAGAAATGGTGGAAAGAGAGTAGCTTCAATATCAATCTCAAAACCGATATAACCGGAGTTTGATCTTTTCTCTAATCTCTAATTCTCTACGAGACAAAGTCACTTTGAGGTTTTGAATTCGATTTCACTAGTTGGAAGGAGATAACACATTTAATTGCGTGACTAAAAGCTGATTTCATATTTAGAAGATTAAATGGGCCGGAGACCAATAAACCTTTGTATTATAAAAAAAACTTGTATTTACTTGAAGATAAAGGTTTTATACAACTTCAGAACATTGGGGTGCGATACATATATATATATATACACACACGTTGGGACGCAAATATACATTCAGTCAAGAAGGAATACTAAAATTCAAATATATCGCTCATGAACGGGTTAGTATTTCAAAAACAAATTATAATGTGAAATTCGGTGACGTGCTACTACAAATTTCTTCCCTAACTGAGTGGGTTGAATTTTGTGAAACTTGTAAATCGTCCAGACTATTTAGAAGCTTTAGGTACAAAGCAACCTAAAAAACGACGTCATTTTATTCGATAGCTAAGGATATTTTATTTTATTTGTTAATTATATATGTATATATATGAAATTAAGTTTCAAATAATCATTGAAAATCTTTTCTTCCAATGCCAAAAAATAGGAAATCTTATTTCCCTGCTTGTTTGTTACTTTTTTTTAATTCATTTTCATAGTTTTACTTTAGTCGCAGTCAAACAAACCACTTTATTTAGGAAAATCACATATTAATATACTTAAAAATATAAAATAAATAAATAAATTTTCAAATTTTCAAATAAATACACGAACTATTCCTAAATCCTATATTAAACCCTAAACTTTAAAACATTTTAAAATATTTACAAAAACCGCTTTTAAATTAAACCATAAACACTTTATTTAGAAAAATCACATATTAATATACTGAAAAAATATCAAATAAATACATGAATTTTAAAATTTTTAAATACACGAACTATTCCTAAGTCCTATATTAAACCCTAAACTTTAAAACGATGAAATTAAATCATAAATATTTACTTTATTTTACTCCATTTTTTAACAAGGGCGAAGCAATGTAACTCCACCTAAGGTCACTAGGGTTTCTGCGGGAGCAGAGGAACTGAGAAAACGGTAAAAAACTGATATAAGCATGTTCCGCTTTGAAATCTACGCGTTTCCATGTTTTTGTAACTTTTGTTTCCTTTTTTTGTTGCGTGATTTCACGTTCGTTGATTTGCTGCTTCTTCCTTTCTGGATAATCGGCGACTTCTGGTTTTGGCTAGGTCGCAGTTTCTATGAAATTTGTGCGTGTTCTATTATCTGGATATGGTGTGGCGTCTAGTGTTGGCTTGGGCATGCTTGCGAAATCCCACTGGTGTCCAGTGTCGGTTTGAGCTTCAGTTTTCGTTTTCGTGGTTCAAGTTTAACTCTTTATCTTACGCTCTGTATCGTTTTCACATTCTGAATTTGCAGCCGATTACCTTTTTTTTTCCTGGCGATCGCTTGATGATTCTTTTGGTTTTCGAAATTCGATTGCTTGGTTTACTGCAAAAATGGGTGTTTGGTTTTATGTATCTGTTTGAAACCTTGTTCACTATTTATATTTGTTGTTAATAGGCCCCGAAGAAAGGGGTAAAATTGGCTGCCGAGAAGAAGTCGGTATGTCATCGATTGTTCTGGTCTTCGTGGCCTGTCAGAATACATTCGTTTATAAATTGCTTTCTCCGCTCTGAATTGATGTCCATGTTTTGAATACTGGGGTTTCAGGATAAAGTTACCAACCCCTTGTTTGAGAAGCGTCCCAAGCAGTTTGGTATCGTGGGGGGGCTTTGCCTCCCAAAACCCGATACATCGAATGGCCAAAGGGATCAGAGGTAGAGGTTTGATGAAGTTGATAATTTGTGTTTGGCATTTGCTAGAATTTTTCTGTAGATGTGCAATGCTTCTTATGCTGGCTTTATGTTACCATCCTGTGATTTCTCTCTGAACGTCATCTCTGTAGGAGCAAGCGTATATCTCTGCGTGTAGACTCAAAACTAAATGCCCTGTAAAATCTTCTGTGGGACTGATGCTCCTCCTGGTTATTTTACTGCACTCTCAGAATGGGTTGGGTGCATTCCTCTGTGTTGTCGAGCCGGTTTGTTGTTAGCCTTGAAGTTGCTACTAACAGTGTAGATTTGATGCCCCTGCTACCACCGGGGTTACTAAGATAATTTTCATGCCATATTTCTTGTTGCAGCCACTAGCCTCTTTAAGCTTCTCCTGAAATACAGGCCCGAGGACAAGGTGGTAAAGAAGGACTGAGGGAAAACCTGTTGAAGCAAAGAAGCCAATTGTTGCAAAGTATGGTCTTAACCATGTGACATACCTCGTCGAGCAGGTCTGCGTTTCTTTCCATGATTTTCTCTTCTCTTTAACCATTAGTGTAAGAAACTCGTGCATGTGAGATTTACAGAGAGTTCTCCTTTTGACCTAATTGCAGAACAAGACACAATTGGTGGTCATTGCTCATGATGTTGCAAACCCTATTGAGTTGGTTGTCTGGTTGCCTGCTTTGTGCCATAAAATGGAAGTTCCTTACTGCATTGTGAAGGGCAGGCAAGTCAAGCCTTGGAGCTGTAGTTATCATTTTTCTTATCTGTTGATCACCCTATATTCCCGTGTTCATTGGTTGCAGATTGTCCAACAAGAAAACTGCGTCTTGCTTGTGTCTGACCACAGTAAAGGACGAGGACACGTTAGAATTCAGCAAAATCCTTGAGGCCATCAAGGTAAGATGTTCGGGAATTACAGAGACAGGTCTTTCCCCGTGGCTCGTTTTCTTCAATGGGTTTTTTTTCCCCTGTTTCTGCAGGTGAAGTGGGGGAAGCGGGATCATGGGATCGAAACCACAGGCCAAGACCAAGGCCAAGGAGAGGCTCCTCGCGAAAGGAGGTTGCACATCTGGAGATGTTCATGTCTTTATATGGTTATGTGTTATTATTCATTTCGAGTTTGCATCAACTGGAATGCCACTTTTGAGTCCTGTGATCAATTCTTGAAATTAGAAATTAATAAAAAGATGGATGAATTTGCAAAAATCCAAATATCTTATACAAATTTGTTGGTCACGCCCTCATAACTTTATTTCGCAACTGGACTTCAGTTTAAACTGGTGGTACATGAACTCTCGAGTGGGGTGTGTTCCTTTCTCTAGTCATGTTTGGGACGCTGTTTCTTCATGTTCTCGCGACCGAACCTTTCCATGAGCTCAGGGACGAGTGTCTTCAACCAGAACAAGACGTTGAACCACGACGGCACCGTCACGTTTCTGTCTCGACGGCAAACTCCGTCAACTATTCCTTTCGCACAGCCAGTCGCCGACAACATTGGCACCCACTCCCAACCTTCCTGTTCCATTCAATATGCAACTTCGTTACGAGAAACTATATATAATTCAAAGGAATTATACTTGGGATTTCTTACGTATTTGTTTGATTCTACAGATAAAAGGGTTAAGAGTATTTATAACCCGTGATTACAATCTTTTCAATCATATAAATATCTTACTACAAAGTATTCTAGTATCCAAAACTTTCTACAGATTGGATAAAAAGAATTCAGGGTTTGGTTCAAGAATCACTTAACCAAATTAAACTCGATTTATATAAAATAGAACATTAACTCAATATATCAAAATTAAGTTTAACTTCAGCAAGGCTTTGTTTTTCAACGGTGTAAAATCCGTACTTAGGGTTTTGTTTAGGGTTCAAGATTAAGTCTTCTGCACACACACACATATATATATATATATATATATATATATGCATGCTTCATCATCAAGAAAACGAAACCAAGCCATTTTCACATCCTTTGGGTGGCTGTATTTACCGTGGCAAGGACGTCAGGAGTAACCATATCTGTCTGGATGAGGCCAGGGGTTGCGACCGTTATCCCGATTTCATGTCCGAGTTCGATCCTCAGCGCTTCGTAGAAGTTTATCATCGCCGCCTTTGCTGCCTGAAACAAGAAACCACTAAGATCAGACTTGAAACAACATTAGGGTTTATCGGTTACCGAAAACAAAGAACCCTTCTTACACCATAGAAGCCCATGTATGGCTGCGACAACCACCCCGAAACCGATGATACAGCTATGATCTTCCCTTTGCTCCTCTTGAGGTGGGGGACCGATAAATGCGTGGTATACACCGAACCCCAAAAGTTGATTTCCTGCAAATCAGAACCCGAGTTTTTAATTATCAGAGTCTTGAAAGAGATCCGGCTCGGGGTTTAACCCAATATAAAGCTGCAAGAGACGTGAACTTTTGTGTACCATAACACGAGCAGCTTCAGAGATACGCGAGTAACTTTCGAATGCTTTCACTTCTCCAATCCCCGCATTGTTCACCAAATGGTCCACTTGTCTCATCCGATGAAACCAAACACGAAATTTCACATCAACATTGTTGAAATAGAAACAAAATATGGAGATTTGATATGATTGATAACAATTAAAGGCATAATATCGATTAAGAATAAAATATATATCGTGATAATTATATTTTGCCTTATTTGTTTCTTTCGTATCTTTATTTCTTTGTTTCTTTCAATAATTTTTCCTATAAATGTATGGATTATTTTCATTGTAATGTAAGAAGAAGAAGAGATGTAGCAATAAAAGTAATTCCGTTTTTTTCTATTTGTCTTATTTTATTTCCGCATTTTATTTTTCTACATGGTATCAGAGCTTCTGGTTCTTTTCTAATTTGTTGTTCTTTTCATAAAAATGATGATCGATAATGAGAGTGAAGATGAAGATGATGATATATCGATCTAGTGGTAATATCATTTCGAGTTTTTTTTAAGAATAAGAGAGTCATTTTATTTTTATTTTTTTTATTTTCTTTCATAATCCCACATGTTTCTAAAGATTATTCGCATAACCGCCAATCATCTTATTCTTGCCAAAAAAAATTGTTGTCATTAAACGCTTTCGCGTAGTTGCCTTTCAATCTCGGATGAATCAGAGTTATTCCCGAGACTTCTTTCTGCACCGCGATTGTCGTCCTTTTTTTTGTTATCATCAAACGATTCTTTTGTGCATGGTGCCAAAGTTGCAGCGCAGTCGTTTGTTTGATTTTTTTTAGTTATTTCTTCTATTGACACGAGTTCGCAAGGTGATGAGGTTCAAGCGGCATGCGTTTGATCATCTTTTCAGCAAGTTGGACGTTTCGTGATCTTCCACGCTCCAACTTGAAGGGGGATGTTGAGATATACCGGATCTTGAAGAATATTATGAGATATATCGTATAATGGAGATCTTATCAAATCCGGAAAATATATATTTAGAAATATTTATCATTATGTCTAGTTTACTTATTCAATGTAAGACTCTCATCTATTTATATGTAATTTTGGTTATCAAAAAAACTCAAAACAAATTACTGTTGAAATAGAAACAAAATATGGAGATTTGATATGATTGATAACAATTAAAGGCATAATATCGATTAAGAATAAAATATATATCGTGATAATTATATTTTGCCTTATTTGTTTCTTTCGTATCTTTATTTCTTTGTTTCTTTCAATAATTTTTCCTATAAATGTATAGATTATTTTCATTGTAATGTAACAAGAAGAAGAGATGTAGCAATAAAAGTGTTTCCGTTCTTTTATCTTTTGTTCTTTCTTTCTAATTTAATTTCCGCATTTTATTTTTCAATATGGTATCAGAGCAGCGTTGCGATCTGAACTATATGTTTCTCTTTTTCTAATTTTCTAATCTCTTCTTTCTTTTGCGTTTTGGATGTTCATATATCCAAATCGTTCAAAGGGAGAGTAAAAAAACCAGATTCAAACGATGTGCTATGACAAAAAGAAGTCAAAGCTAAAAACTCTAAGATCAAGCAAGATGCTATGACAAAAAGAGTTAAAGCTAGAATTTTAAAGTCAAGCGAAGTGATTTGAAAGAGGTTAATACTCTCTAAATGAATGAAATTTGGTTTCTATGGATTGTTCTAATAACAGTGAAGTTTTTCATCATTTTGTTGTATCTTCAAGATTGATTTTTGAATTCTTTCAAAATCAATCTTGAGGGAGAATGTTGAAATAGAAACAAAATATGGAGATTTGATATGATTGATAACAATTAAAGGCATAATATCGATTAAGAATAAAATATATATCGTGATAATTATATTTTGCCTTATTTGTTTCTTTCGTATCTTTATTTCTTTGTTTCTTTCAATAATTTTTCCTATAAATGTATAGATTATTTTCATTGTAATGTAACAAGAAGAAGAGATGTAGCAATAAAAGTAATTCCGTTTTTTTCTATTTGTCTTATTTTATTTCCGCATTTTATTTTTCTACAAACGTTGCCTTGATCTCAAATTTTCTTCGCGATCAACTGGATGAATTTTTCGTTTCCACTTATATCGGTTTTGATTTAAATCTTTCGAAATTTGCAATAATTTGTTCAAGTTTAGATCTACCCTCCGTTTATCTTCGCCCCATTCTTATGCTTTACACTTTTCTAACCGGAATATCTGTCGAACTAAAATGCGAAATTATACATCTATTTATTAAAATATCGAGATAAATTTTATCTATCTTATCGATAAAAATGAGGAACAAGTTCCTTGACTATAAATCTAGAGAGTAGACAAAATAATAAGATAAAGTCACGAGAAATAATTGGAACGTATATGATTCAGATCCAAGATAAAGAATCACAATATGGATAGTATTTTCTAATATGATGTTAAATTATTTTCGGTCGACATGACTTGTTGTGTGCGTAAAAAATGGAGTCTTTGTACTTTGAAGGCCGAGGAATTGAAACGAGAGAATAATACTCACATCGACCGAAATGATCGATCGTCCCTTGGACGAAACGCTTACAGTCTTCGACAACGGAGACATCGCCGGTTATAACGATGACGTCCGGCGATCCAAGCCGCCGGGATTTCTCAGCCACCGCCCGCAGACGCTCCTCTCTCCGAGCAACCAACGCCATACGCGCCCCTCTGCGCGCGTACTCGTACGCCAGATGCTACACAAACCCACAAATATTCATTAAAGCTTATACATGTACATATATTATTTTAAATGTTTTTTCTTTATTTTTTTGGGTCAAATTTATTTAGCTGTTTTGAGTTTTAAATGAATGTTAGGTGAATTTTAGACAATGATATTTTATTGAATTTTAGATGTATAATTCTCTACAGAGAAAACAAAAAAACTCAAAACAAATTACAAAATATACAAAAATAATTATTTTCTCTATCCGTTGTTTTGTTTATTTCGAATTTACGGTTCACGACATTGTTACTGTTGATGATACGATACAGCATTGTTCGACACTGTTACTATTCATAAACTGCAAACAGTAACATTGAAAATTTCACCCACCTGGGTAAACTTTACCAAAAAAAAACATTAAAAGTTTCAATATTGAATTGAACCCAATTAAATTATCAGAGTACGAATGTAAATAATTAAAAAAAAAAAGACTAATTCGAAAAAAGAGCAGAGGATTGACCTCGCCGATGCCGGAAGAAGCTCCAGTGATGAGGATAACTTTTCCGGCGACATTTTCGGCGTTTATGTAACTCTGCAGACGGCGGCTGAGCTTAAAGAAGATAAACAATGGGGATAACAGAAGCATTAACAGAAAAACAAACGGAGGAACAACAACGTTAAGGATCTTGCTGGGCAAATCCATGTCTCCTCGCAACGTTGTTCAAACGGAGAAGAAAAGTCACGATTTAAGATATACATAATCGCGTTTACGTACGTGTGTGTGTATATATATGTGTGTGTTATGCATGTACGGAATTATTCACGTTTCGATTTCTTTACACGAGAAAGTCATTATTTGGAATTGAGAGATAATGGATGCTTCTATTGGTAATAACGCTCTAGCTAATTGTGGACTGCACTCGCAAACTGCTCCTTCTTTATAACATTAAAGCTAATATATATATAGGCTTATGATTTGTGGCTGAACCAACAAACTATTTCCATTCAATGCATATATAAAATACAAAAAAATTAATAAAATATCTGTCATTTTATAAATTTTTATTTTTTATAATTTATTTATTTACAATTTTATTTATAATCGTGTAAAAGTATTTTTTTTTTCGTTAAAACAAACTATATAACCATTAAAAAATGATCATGTCATGTAAATCAGTTTGTTTATATATTGAAGGATTTATTTGAGAGTTTGGTATATTATCAGTTTGAATTTTATCACTATTTTGAAATATCAATGTGATTTCTTTTTGAAAAAAATTACCTAGAAGTTTTTCTACCAAATCAAAAATAAAATTAAATAAATATATATATAAATACATTTATAAATATGATAAATATATAAAAATAAATAATAAAAATTGTTTAAAATAAAATTATAACTCTTACATATATTTAATCTTCTTACTCTTAATTTTTTGTATTTGATTATGATTGGATTGATGATAATGATTTTTTAATGATGGAATATAATGAAATAAAAAAGAGAATTCAATCTTTTTTATTTGATTTTCTAGATTCGTAAAAGTTTTTTTTTTAAAGAGGGCGATGCGAAATTGTAGTGTGACGTTTCCTTTGAAATTTTATTAAATGTTATATATATTTTTTTAACATCAATGGGAGCGGTCACTCACTTATAAAGTGGTGGGTCCACCCCTTCCCTATATTTAATTATAAATATGGTTGCATTTGCTCCGTTAAAAAAATATGTTTTTCATTAAAAAAAAACATAAAATTTAATTGGGCCCAGGCCCAAATGAATTTTGTTTGTTCCTTAGTAAATAAATTTTAAGAAATCCCAATCATCAATATATTATCATTTATACATACATCAATATATTTAAGTTCAATCCAAATTTAATTAGAATTATTAAAAATGGATAAGAATATTTGTAATAAATAAAAATAATATATATATATATACTAGCATATTTAAACTTTAAAATTGTAATAATAATAATAATAATATTTTTTTAATAACTGAACTTTTATTTTAAATTTGTACTGATGCTACGAAGAGAAATTACTAGAGGAATATATAATACGGGTTGGTCATATGGGAGAATAGACATTCCACTTGGAAAATAGACAATATGGCAATACAATAAATAAATAAATAAGAGCGATACGGGTATTAATTATGATTTACACTTGCAGTGTGTAGAAATTTTGGAGAATTTAATTCAAAATAAAATAGATAAATAATTCATATGATAATCCAAATAAATTTGGCGATAAACGGTGTCTTTTTCAGACGGGTGTTAAGTTTGTGGTTAGGCAAATCAACCACACATGCGAATTGAAGACTTACATAATAAATGAAATTAAAGAAAATTAAAGAGAGAGGAAAAAATATCTCTAATCCAAAAGTGTTGAAAAATTGGAGCGGAATATATATATATATATATA